GATCAAAACACAAGTAGCCCTTGTGAATGTCACTATAACCCAGAAACACACAATGAGAGATTTTAGAAGAGCGTTTATCACATTCACGACGAGGAAGAAGTATAAAAGAAAGACAACCGAACACAAGAAGACGCCTATAAGGAGGATGGGTAGCTTAGGGGGCAAAAATGAGGCCTAATGTTCTGCAAAACTGGAGTTACTTGGTAATTAGTCAGTCTAACCACAGTGGCCATATCCTATGGCCAGAATCAAGCAGGAATCGACGAGGCAAGCAAGAGAGCCCGTGTAAACTCGAGAGTATGGCGATTCTTCCATTCCATTATGCCATTTTGCTGTGAAACACCTGGAAAATATTTCTGACAAAGGATATTGTGAGACTTGTAGTACTCAAGCAATGGGGTGCAGCTAAACTTCCCTCCTGGATCAGACCGAAGCATTTTAACATTCCTTCCAAACTATGTAACGATTGGCATGGTCGATGAAGAGAGCAAAGTACTTGTAACCATTATGGGATGTAGTCGGGACAACTCCCAAAGATTAGTATGAACTACGTGAAAGGGATCAGTAATGACAGTTGTGCTAGAAGAAAATGAAATGCTTTTTGCCTTAGCCTCAACACAACCAGAACCTGAAGGCTGAAACGAGGGAACAACCTATTTATATGAATTGCAAACGATGGGAATTAGGATGACCTAATCGACGATGCCACAAACTCCATTGATCACTAGACTCATTCGACAAAATAACAGGAAAAACATTGAAAGACTTTGACGCACTAGACACCCGAGGACAAGAAGAAGACGCGCCAACGGACACAGAAGCTTGACTCGACAACTCCTTCAACGAAAAAATGCGGCCACATTTACTCCCCCTTCTGATCAGCCTCCCCATCGTCAAATCCTGCACAAAACACCCAGACGATACGAATAAAACATAACAATTCTCGTCGGTGAGTTGGCCAACAGAAGCAAGGTTAGGACACAACTTGGGGACATGAAGAATATTATCCAACTTAAGACGAGAATCAGTCAAGGAACCAAGTCCTGCGACCGGAATATGGGAGTCATTGGCAACCTGAAGACGTAAACTTTTCACAGGGGTAACGCGACAAAGGATTTGAGAATCACTCATCATGTGATTGAAACACACCGAGTCAAGTAACCAAGGTTTAGCTTTACCTGACACTTAAAGAGCGGCAAATACGGAGTTAATGGCATCATGAATTGACTTCTGCAAGAAGGAATGTATCATCTTTTCCACTATATCCGGAGACAAGGAAGAGGTATCGGAGCTGGAAGGATGGACCACAAAGGAGAACGCAGCCGCGGGGAAAGCAGGACCAGAATCAGCTCGTGGAGCACTAAGGGAACCATTTGCAACATATTGGTCTCGATTCTTCAAGGTACGACATTCGCTAATGATGTGCCCAAAACGCCTGCAATAAACTTCGGGCAGAGTATCATGAGAAACCACAGCAGCCGAGAATGATTGCGTTCAACATGCACATCTTCAAAGACTTGAGCCGAGCGAAGGAAGGAAGAAGTAGATCTTCTTCTGTCCAAAGCTGAACCGATGAGTTGTAATAGGTAGAGGCATCCATGTTGCCTTGCTTTAACAGAGACAACTTGTTTTCAATTTCGAATTGTAGGGCAGTGTTCTTGATGGTGTAGGCCGCAGCGAGATGCGACCACATGTCGAAGGCGGTGAAAAACAGCCATAAACCCAAGACGATCGAGGTGTCAACCGAACCCAAAATCCAAGTCTTGACCCTCGCATTGTTCATAGTCTAGCGATCGACCTCTTGCACAAAAGCAGGCGGTGACACTTGCTTCTTCTGAGTACCATCAAGGATCGATAGAAGACCGTTGCCTTAAAAAAATATACAAAACTGGAATTCCCAGACACATAGTTCTTCGGATCGAGACGAACACTGAGGGGATCAGAATCGCCGTAAGATAGCTCCGATACCACACTAGACATAATGAATGAACGGAATAACGACAAAGACAAACAGATTTACGTGGTATCCCTTAGTGTTCAAGACTAATCCACGGGAGAGCCTCAAAACTCTTCAAGCTACTGATCTGATTACTTAGTTAAGCATTCACGTTACAGGTACATATATATATGGCCATAATCGGCTCTCTAAGGGAAGGAGAACATAAACCCTAGCCCTCTACACATGTACACGTCCCGTGCATGGGCCAATCCATGGGCCGCGTAACGTACATGGGCTTTAACATCTTCCACGTCAAATTTATTTTTATTTATAATTTTCAAACATAAAAAACCAAAACCAAAAACAAAAATGGGGGTCAATGTTTTCTTCCCCTTTCCCCTCATCTTCTTCTTCTCCAGCCACATCACCTTCCCGACCTTCTTCCCTCCTCCTCTACCTTGTTGCCATTCTGCATCCATTGATTCCTCCTCCTTCCTCCCCCAACTCCACTATTGAAACCCTTCTCTCCTCACCACATTCGTTGCCTTTCGTTCTCCCCTCCGCTCAGCCCCTCCCCATCGATGAGAACCCCACCCCGTCATAGAACTCCTGGTAGGCTTCTCACTTCATCCCGCCCGACGACCGTCGCCGCCTCTCCTGCTAGCGGCATCTCTTTCGCGCGCCTTGCCTGCCACCGCTGTTCGTCTCCGCACCCTCTCAACTCTGACCAGAACCTCCTCTTCTACTCCTCCTTCCTCTTCTGGAATCCAAATATTGGATGACAAAATCCCCCGCTTTGACTTAAGAAATTGACAGCGGCGAGGATTTTCGGGTGGAGGACGGGCTCTTGAACAATGTGGCTAAACTTGACGAAATTCCCTGCTTCGACTTGAGAAAGTTTTTGGTGGCCTCATCAGAAGGGATGGTGAGGGTGGCGGCACGGCTGCGGGCTTCTTCGATCTCTTCTTATCTTCGATTGGCACCTTGATTTTTGTGAGTTTCCTTTTCTATGGTACTTGATCTCTAGTGGCCCCAAATTACTCTGGAGAATGAGTCATACTTGACAGAGGAAATTGTCGATTAGGAGGATGCTCTTGTCGGAGGTGGGGAGGGGAATGGATACGGATAGGAGGGGGTTTTGTTAATTTTTTGGATGGAGAGAGGAAGGGGAACGAAAGGTATAGGGATAGGGATGGGAGGGGTTGCGTTAATTCTTGTTTATTTTAATAATTAATTAATAAATAAGTTACAAAGGTTGACTGCCATGTTAGAATATCCCTTCCATGTCAGCGTAACATCTGCCAACTCCCATCATCTAACGAAACTGTTAACAGAGACTTAAGGGTTGGCTAACTTTTTGTCTTTCGATAGTTGTGGCTATTATTTCCCGCTGCTTAATTGTTCTGGCTAATATATTATTTTTGCCCTAATATTTTTGTATTAGAAAATCATATTAATCGTGCTTTTCGAAATATGATTTGGCTTATAAAATTGCTAATTCTTACCACAGTCTTTCATACGTTGTCTTTTATCACCTATTTTCAATTCCCAACATGTTAAGCAAGATTTGTACAAATTTTTTGAACATTTAGAGGTCGTTTGAAGGGTGCAAAAAGTGCATAACGAGATGAGATCAAGGTTAACGATTGTGAACTTGAAGAATCTAGCCGTGAATATGATCACGGGTAGTATCACGACCATGACCTTGCCCATGACTTACCTCACTTTTGTGAGATCATAGGGAAATCAAAGATCATGGCCATGAACTTTGTACTCGTGATCTTTTACCTCCACTCATAATCACAATGCTCTTATAGTTTAGTACCAATAGGTTAGAAGCCAATTATATAGGAAAGTCAGGAAAAACATTAATGATTGTAAAACTTTACTGAAGATTCTACCGAAAAAGTAATCGATATGATATTTTACGCTGAAATCATGATTCAACCATTTCATACTGCTATATATCGCCTATCGAATTAGCCTCCATTAGAAGGTTTTCTGGTCAATATCAGATAACTTGAGTTAATTATCTGTACACACCTCTTTCTTTTGACTATTCCTTCATTCATCTTAAAGAGAGAGAAGAAGAAAAAAAAAGCTACCCAATTCCAGTTCTTCAATAAGCGAACGCCTTCCGGTAGCAACACATGCAATCGTTGATTTCCTTTGTCTGCCCTTTGACTTTGCAAATATAAACCGGTCCTTTTGACCAACCTACGCATTATAATTATATAAATAGACACAGTTAGGGAGCCTATAACTCAATAATTAACTGCTTTACTTTGATTTTGTTTTATTTTATTCGACCAGCTTCCTAAACCAGTGGTTACAACACATGTTAGTTAGTACACCAAACCTTAATAGCGGCCACGAAAACAGTAGTTTGCCATAATTAAATTAAGTCGGTTGAGTGACCATTAATTGGCGGCCGACGACCAGACCACCACCACCACCACGACGTCGGTAGAAACATGGGCCACCGTCTCTCTCCTACCGGCCGCCGCCTCTTTCGGTTTCTCTGCCCCGCCACCACCCTTCCCTCAAATGTATATATTTATGTATCCACTTGTCAACTACTAATATCAAGACACAATCACCACCAAACCAAGCAGGTGGGAGAGGATATCGAATCCAACAATAATTAAACAATGATCGAAAGTGTAATCACTAGTCATCAACAGTTCAGTAACAAAACTTTTGTATCAAATTGAGTCCTTTATCATATATATAACTTAATAATAATTCATACAGTTTTACAACAACAACAAAAAACAAAAAAACAAAAATAATCTGTAACATTTAATTACTTTGGTCACTTCGAATCCACTTTCATATTCGTGGACCGAGTGCAAATTAACTCTTTTTCTTCTCTACACCCTTCATTAAAATTACACGGAGAGAGAAATCAAGGTAAGAAAAAAAAACCTCACCATCACCGGAAAAAAAAGTAAATTTTTTTCCCGGTGAGAAAAACCAAAGCGGGGATGAAATGCCATGCCACGTCACGCCAAGCCATTTATTTTAATGGCCGGCGATGACGACGGCGGCGGCTGCCAGACTACCTCTCCTCCGGCTCACGGTCGGAGGAGTAGGATAGCCGGAAAACCCACTTGGTGAGATTCTTCTTCCTCAAACCCTTCAACATCTCATGCCCGCTCCTGCTGCGAGGAATCACATCGTTGTAATTCTCCTCCACGAACATCCTCAGCCTCTCCACAGCCAGCTCCAGCGTCTCCTCCGACATGTTCGCGAAACAAACACGAAACCACCCCGGCTCGACGCAATGGCACGAAGAACCGGGCGAGATGTTGAGCTTCACTTCATAAACAATCTTCTTCCACAGCTTCATCTCCGCTTCAAAAGTATTCGCTTCAAGCAGATGCCTCATATCAACCCAACAGAACAGCCCGGCATTGCTCTTCAGACAGCTAATCCCGGCCTTCTCCAACCCTTTGCGCAGCGATCTCTGTCGCTGCTTCAACCTCCTCTGGCTCTCCGCGATGTAGTTCCTCGTGAACTTCTTGTCGGAGAGGAGAGCCGCGAGGAGGTACTGCGTCTGCGACGAGACGAGGCCGAAGCTCGACATTTTCGTCGCGGCGGAGACGACTCGGTCGTCGTTGGAGTAGATGGCACCGACGCGGAACCCGGGGAGGCCGAGGTCCTTGGACAGGCTGTACACCACGTGGACGCGGTCGGCGAGCTCGGTGTGTTCGAGCTTCTTGTCTTTCAGGACCTCCATGATGCTGACGTAGCCGGGGGAGGAGAAGGCGGTCCCCGCGTAGATCTCGTCGCTGATGAGGTGGATCTGCTTGTCGGATATGAAGTTGACGAGGAGGTTGAGCTCCGGTCGGGTCAACGTGGTTCCCAGCGGGTTGGAAGGGTTGGTGACGAGGACGCCCTTCACTTTTAGGTTGCGTGTCTTGGCGTCGAGGTAGGCTTGCTCGAGAGCTGTCTCCGTGATTTGGAAGCCGTTGGCGCTGGTGCATTGTATGGGTACGATCTCCACTCCGGTTCTCCACTTGAGGTCCCGGTCGAAACTGTAGAAACGATTCAATGCACGTTCGTTAGTTTAAAAAAAAAATGTAACAAGAATCGGTAACATACGTTACGTATTATGTAAAGTGGACGTACCCTGGGTAGTAAGGGGTGGGGAGGAGGATGGCCTCGCCGGGCTCGGCGAGGCAGAACATGAGGGTCTCGTTGGCGGAGGTTGCACCAGCGGTGAGGACGATCTTGTTCTGATCGAATGTCACCTTGTTCCCCCTAATTTCCGACATGAACTCGACCAAAGCCTGTGGAGGAGAGAGAGACAAGAAAGAAACGTAATTAGCAACTAGTAATTAAAATTTTCGTATTATGATATGATATGATATGATATGATATGATATGTAGGTTATACCTTTTTGAAGGCGGGGAGGCCGTGGTAGTCTTGGAAGAGGGCGAGATCGCGGAAGACGGAGCCGCCGTCGCGCTTGAAGGAGGCGGGGTCGGGGTTGGCGGCGAGCCATTGCTCGATGAGGTCGAAGGAGAGCTGGTTCTCGGCGAGGCCCATTTGGATGATTCCGGCGGGGTTGGTGGCCTCGTCGTATGGGTTCTTCTCGTACTCTTCCCATCCCAGGAAGTAGGAGGAATCCTGGCCGTGAGTGTTGCACGTCGCTTTCCTCGACAATATTCCCATTGGGTTTGGCCTTGTGGTTGTTTGTTTCTATGTATGTATGGCCAGGAAAATGATATGTTGAGGTTTTGGAATGAATGAATGAGTGATTGAGATTGGAGGAGAGAGTAGTAGTAGTAGTTGTTGTTTAGTTTCAAGTTGTGTGTTTTGAGAAATGTGAGAAAGGTAAAGGGTGGAGTGGTGGCGAAGACTATGGCGGGTGGGAGGAGGTATATATAATGGGGAAGGGGGAGCGGCGAGGGGAAATAATAAGAAAGGAGGATTTTAATTATTAGGAAGAGCAAGAGGATGGTATAACATGGTATGTGGGTCCACAGAGAGAAGGAGAGACAAATTTGACCATTTAGGACATAATTTCTCACTTGATTGGGACAACTTGTTTATTATCGTAATCCCAAAAGAGAAAATTCGAATTTCCGTTTTATATATATTTTCTTTTTGCTGGGAGTACCCATATGGAATCTCTACGCGCTTCCTTCCGGTTTAACCAACAGAATCGGGCAAAGGGGGGAAAAAGTATTACCGACACAGACACAAAACTAAGTTAAAAAGAGTTTCGGCAATTAAAATTAATTCTTACTCAAGTCACCTCGTTCAAATCGCAACAGTAGCCTTGAGGACCTGACAACGCAACATCAACAAGCTAAGGGCCTTCAGTAAGAACCTGGCAACGTAAACTTGGAATGTCATAAGAAAAACTAGGGCGTACTACCCTTGAGGAAAATGTCATCAACGTAGATATGAAAATTGCAAATGTAACCCTTCAATTCATGATCGAAAAAGATGCATCTGATTGAGTACTGTGGATTCCAAAAACATGGGGGGAAAAACTAGGTAACACTACTGAATATTCAATCAGATAAAATAAAATAAAAACAGAATCGTTCAAACTCAACACACAAATTTAACGTGGTATGAAATGACATCAGTATCATCTTTCTCCTGGAAAGTTTTTTTTTATCTATTCCTCGAAATATATTGAAAATAGATCTCATTTTGTAGAGCACAACGAACTCGTTACATCTATGCCAAAAAATTGAAATCCGAGTTAAAACGAAGAAGATAATAGCTGATTAAGAAAACTAGGGACAATAAAATGCCTTTAATTGACAACCCTTATATCTAAATTTTCTGGACCCACTTAAATTTAAAGGTCCAGATTTAGTTACTCATAGGTCAGTAATCAATGGTTACTGACCCTATCCTAAGTTCATCTCTAACAACCGATCCAATAGTAAAACGTGATTTTTTTTAATAGAAAGGAGAAACGGAAACAATAAAAAGAACCAAACTAAAATCTTTTAACAAAATGTTTAAGAAACAGGTGACCCACAAAGTCCATGGTAACATGAAATTGTAGGGGCCCAATCCAAACCTCTAAATGAGACCTCTATGTTTCCTTGACTTGTAGGGTGTCTTCGTTTAATTTTTTTAAAAGATTTCTTTGAAAGAAACTCAGACTAAACAAACACAATTTGTCATTTTTTTCTTTCTTAAACCAACCATTTCTCATGCACCATTCAAATTTAAAATCAAACCAAGTTTCACTTAAAAACTTACTCTCAATAGTGAAATTAAATGGAATTCTATTATACGTTTAATAATCTATATAACAATTATCTTTTAAATTTGCGAAACCAGGCTAGTCTAGCTGGTGGGGCGTCTCTAGGGGTGGACAACGGGAAAATGATATTTGGCTATACTCGTATCTGTCCCTTTTTTTAGGGTTACGGGTATCCAAATACCCATATTTATTTACGGGATTGAACTTGGGATCAAGAATTGCTACTTTGGGTATCCGCGGGTTACCCGTTAATACCCGTTTGGGTATTATGGGTACCCGTTATACCCATTAGTTCAAAGTTGAAATGGTGGTGAATGCGCTTTGAGGAAACAGGGGATTGTCTTTCAAGTTACTTTGGCCATTTACACTTAACAGAGGTGATCGAAATGTAAATGTTTTTTTTTTCGTTTTGAAAGGGGAAGAATGTGAGGGGTTTCCTTTCACCAAGACCACCATAGCCAAAGCTGTTTGTGTATATAACTATTTGATTCTACCTTTTTGGTTGTTTATATATCAGTTATTGTTGTTATTATTATGAGCTTCTATACTATTGGTTTTATTTCTCATTGCTGGGACGAGGCAGACACAGTTGCAGTATTTCTAGGCAAAAGATCCCTTGCTTAATGCAATCAGACATCGCCGCCGGCCAGTAACTGGCAGTAAGAAAAGAGCTAGTAAGAAAGAACACTTGCTTCATTTTTCATTTGCAGTGTCTTCTTTTATCCGGAGCAAGTTTCCTTGATAGCATTTCGTATGTAAGAATTGAACGGTTATTTACGGATAGTATGGGTACTCGTTATCTGTCCCGTACGGGTAATGGGTACTCGTTAATCCGTACGGGTTTGGGACATGTGAAGGAGATTGCTCTTCAAATGGGATTGGGTACCCGTTTCAAACGGGACAGGTATCCCGTCCCGTCCTGTTGCCCACCCCTGGGCGTCTCAGGCAAGGTCCTCAGTTCTATCTTCAACGACCCAAGTTTCGTCTCGCTCCGCCATCACAAAATATGGTGTGTGCGTGGGGATGTTCCTCAATGATACAAATTTTATTTTTTAAATTCACACAGGAACACATTACTGTTTTTTTTTCAAAACATAAATTTATTGTACATTTCATCAATTAAATATTTCTAATACCCAACCAAAGACACCATTTTCTCTTATTTTCTTCAAAATTAAATACAAATCAACGATATTAAAATTATCTAAATAAAATTCATCTTTTAAATTCACAGATATTTTTATATTTTAAAGCATTATTTTTTTCTGAAACAAAAATTTATTTTACATTCCATTAATTAAATTCTTATAACACTCAACCAAATACACGAAAAAGAGTTTGATTTCACGAGAATACCACTGATGAAACCTTCACTTAAATAATAACTAACCAAAAAAAAAACTATATTACCCATGTAAAAAACATCCAACCAAATACACCTTTTTTCGCTAATAATTCTTCTTTGCATAAAATAAGAGAAATTATAAACAAACATGCCCCTATTCTCCCCTCCAACACATGTCGGCCACATTCTCTCTCTCTCTTCCCATTCTATTCCGCTGTTTCTCTTCGATTTTGTCCATTTCTTCCTAACAGTACCAAACAAATCTTTTATCGTTTGATTAGTTAGCGAGAAACTTTTTTTATTAGACTGAATATTATTTTTATGGGTATGAAGGATGAACTATACTACTATAGAGTTTAAAAATTAAACTACCGAATATATAGATTGCATCTAACTCCAATATGATACCATTAATTAGCAATGTTTGATAAAATATGTAAACAAATCCCACTGGTTTTTGATAATTCATGCGATGATTACGTTACTTCCCAAAATCAAATAAGAGTGTCTGTCCTGGTGGGTAGTTAGTTCCATAACCATTTTGCAAACAATTATTATCTCGGTCTATCATGGCTTCAATAATTAGTTGAGATCCTTACAGGGTTTGACTGATCCAACGAGATATGATCAATCATTAATTAATTTTTATATAATCATGATATATATGTGTAGTTCGATGAATTTATGGAGGTTTAACCAATAAATTTTATGTAGCATTTGGAATGCGTAAAATATTAGTAACAGTAAATGATTTTGTATGCCAATCCGTTGCTCACAAATTCATACATTTTTATGTTAATCAAAATACAATCAGGACTTATCAAAATTCAGTTACCATTGTGATGGAAAAATGTAAATACACAAATTAACAATTGTACAAGATGCTGCACAAACCCATATCTATTTAATATAATGTTCCATATATATATCCTGTTTTAGAATGTTGGAAACACAATGGATAGTTCGGTAAAACAATGGTTACTTGAGAGTCCATGCCTTTAAAATAAGTGAATTGCACATATATAGATAGGTCATAAATTGAGAATTTATTGGTTTTGATTCAGTCAACTGATTGTTACAAAAATTCTATAAGTCGTTCATGTATAAACTTGTTCAAACTTCTACCTTAAATATTGAGAGTGAACTTTACATATACTCGTCATAACTTGTACGTAATTGTATCAAATATTAATTTTGAGGATTTTTAACACCATCCTGCAATTTATGTAGTAAATTGTAATGATCCCAACGCCTCACAAATAATATATTTGGAAGCAAAACATAAGTTATTTTGTAATTCAAGAACGGAATTAACTGAAGGGAATAATTGAAGAAGAGGGGAGGCATGTGGTTTGTAGCATGGAAAGGGTTATTATCGCATGTGAAACCCTCGTTTCAAATGCCCCCACCAAGCTAGGGCTATAGCCCACTTTCATATGCGAGGAAGAGTTATGATGATCAAGAATCCAATCGAAGTCGAACAAACTTTGTTTAGGACGGGTTTGAAAAAATTGAAAAATAAATTTCGTAGCTATTCGAAGATTCTAATTCATCGGATTGTAGAATAATGATTTAATTATTATTATATTATTTGGTAGCTGCTATTATTAATTATCAATAAAAATAGTAACTCTATATTTTTTCTTCCAATAATATATTTATCCTTAATTAAAAGAATGAGAGTGACTCAAAACATATTGAGAATTTATCAATATAGTGAGATAAATAAAATAGAAGAAATTAAGTAGGAGAGGAAAAATAATCTTACAAATTAAGATATAACTTTTTGTAATTGTGAGAGATTTGATATCTCTAGAGTTTAGAGATTTTAGATCTTTGAAACTAGAAACGGTGAACAACATAACTATTTGTTAAATCTATGGTTTCAGTGAATCTATGGTCCAAGGTTAAATAGAAATTGATTATTAGTTATATAGAGGGTTCATGCTAGTGTATGCCTAGCGCACGCTTACCTTACCATACCCCGTCCATTTATGTTAATATAGAATTAGCAGGAGTTTGGGGCATAATACTATATACTAACCCTTAATGGGTGAACCTCGATCCCCAATTCTCTAATCCAATCCAAAATATTCATTTAATCTCAAAATGAAAATCAAT